TGTTGTGTTGTGTTGTGTTGTGTTGTGTTGTGTTGTGCGGGGTGGGAGGGAGCGGTCGGGGGAGAAGGGGGGGTGACGGGCGTGCGCGTTGGGCGTTGCTTGGAGGTTTGCGTGAGGATGTGCGTGGGTGTGTGCGTAAGTGTGTGTGTGTGTGATTGTTTGTGTGTGTGAGTGTGTGTATGTGTGTGCGTGTGAGTATGTGCGCCTCCTGGTCAACCAAGAAGGGCGCAGACAGGATCGGTGTGGGCGTTTAGCTGGCGTCTTCCTATGCAGGGAGGGAGTCCAGATTGCCGTGGACCTGCTGAAAAAGGTCATCCCCGACTGCTGCGAGGCCGCTTGCTTATCGTGCGCGGGCCTCGGCGCTAAACTGATGATGTGGGTAGCATCGGTGTTTACCAAGATAGTCGACATGGTAGAGGACCTCATCAAGCGAGCCCTGCACACTTTTGGAGTGCCTGACTGGATTTGCGAGAAGGTCGATTTCAATGGCAATGCCAGCGCGGACCATGCAACAGATGACGACGAGCCGGTTAAGGTAAAAGCGGCGAAGAGAATAAAAGAGGAGCAGGGCGAAGATGCACCTACACAGCAAGCTATGGAGGGCGCCGATGACGCTGGAGCACAGCTCGTCATCTAGGAGAGAGGGGTCCAGGCCAATCATTATTCAACACTTACAGCCAGCTGATAGCACGAAACCAGCCTGTGGTTGCACCAAAAAGTACGACGTACGTAGTGGGTAGTGTATTCCATGGTCGTGCATGTCCTGGATCAAGCGTATGAGTTGTTTCAGACTGGATTTCGCCATGCATTCGCTCCCACGAAGCATCTTGTACATACGTCATACGAGTCTCCTTATGTTAGGGCACCTGCTTGCACAATGCGCTGCGAGTGCCTTTCTTCTCTTTCCTTCTCCCGTGAAGTGTCATTTTTGTATGTCTCCTTCGGACGCCGCTGCGACCTGGGAAGAAGGCCGTATGGATGGTGCCGACCTTTTTCGCATGGACGCGTTGGTCATCGTTGATTCGTGTTTACGTGACCCGCGATCTGTGTTTGTTGGTCTCGGTTTCAATGGGCCTGTAGTTTTAGGTAGTATTGACGCAGCCGGCCTGAGCTGGTAATGGCGGCCACGGGGAGGGGCTTGGAGTTGGCAGCGCCCTAGGCGCGCCAAGCATCCACCGCTGTTCGGACGGATGCGGTAGGGGCGCTCGTGGTTCCGGGGCCCGCCCAAAGATACGGCGTGGGTTCCCCCAATTGTCGGGGACGCCTGCGGCGAGCCGCCGCCGCCCCCCGCGCGGTGGAGGTGCCGGCGTGGCCAGGCCTGGGGGTCCTGTGAGAAGGCCGGAGGCTTCTGGAACGCCGCGGCCCCTCCAGAGCGCGCCGGAGCGCTCTGAGCGTTCTGGAGCGCTCGGGAACGGTGCATTCTGGTCCCAAGCCCGCCCGACCCCCCGGAGGAGGAGGAGGAGGAGGAGGAGGAGGAGGAGGAGGAGGAGGAGGAGGAGGAGGATGAGGAGGAGGAGGAGAGGAGGGAGGAGAAGGGAGAGGAGGAGGGGCGGAGGAGGAGGAGGCTGAGGAAGGCCTGTGGGAAGGCAGGGGTCATTCTTAGGAGGGCCTGGCGGCTTCGGGGAAGGCGTCCCAGAAGCCAGGGGGCGTCCAAGAGGCCGCCTGCCTTCCCTTGGAGGCCCCCCCACCTTCGCAGGAGGCCGCTCCCTTGCGGGCGCCGCCAACATTTCGGCCCTGCGAGGCCGTGCTCCAGAAGGGAGAAAAAACACACCGACACAGTGCATCGTCGGTCCCCCGGAAAATGTGGGGAAGGATTGGAAGTGGAGGGGAAGACGAGCATCAAGAAGATATGAGAGCGTTGGGGATGTTTGGATTCGCGTCAATTTATTTGCGTTTCCCTGGGTCCCTCCAGTGTTGGCGCACTTATGGCCTTGCTCTGGAAAAGTCAAGCGAGTCGCCTCAGAACGCCACACGACCGGCCCTAAGGGTCGTGCGGCGGCCCTCAGAGTTTCAGGAATGCTGGGCCTATGTGTTTTGTTTCGAATCAGCCTGGCGAACGACCCAACCACGTGCAGCTGCGAGTACCGCAAGATAGGTGAAAACTACGGGAAGGGACTGGCACACGGACTGGGGCTTGCGTGGGAAGGGCGGAACGACGTCGTTGATGGAGTCGCAAAGGTCGGCCGTAACGGGTTACATCTGGATGCAACCCGTTACGGCTGATCTGCGCGTCTGTCAGTGCGGCCCCGGGTGGGGCCTTAGGTGGAGCTCCCAATGGTGCCAGAAACGTATGAGCGGTGAGCCGACACGGTGTGGAGAAGGCATGCGGGCCTTGCAATTGGGGCCCTCGGTGGAGCTCCCTATGAGGCCACGAAGCGGGTGAGAGGCGCGCGTCCAAATGTTGTGGAGAAGGTATGCGAACGCAGCCCTTGGGGCCTCAGGTGGACTTCCCTGTGGGCCATGAAACGTTTAAGGGGTGCGCCGACATTACGCAGACCAG